TTCTTGTTTTAAGAAAAACAATTGCACAGTTAAATGGAATAAAAAGATAAGAAGATCAGTATGATATATAAGTTTAATGCACTAAGCTAATATTTTAAAAGAGAAAACTATGAAAGAATTCAGATATACATTTGATAACATTTCTTAATATGTATACAGTCATGTACACCATCTTACTTTTAAACAGAAGTTCAAAAACAAAGGTGCACCTTCTTCTTCTGTGCTGCAGGGTACTGAATTTGTCAGTTTGAGTTTTATTACAGGAATAGCAAACGTTCATATGCTGAGTGAGGTACAGATTCCTTTTTTAAAAAAACTGGCCAGCCTATGTACTGTAAGTCTTTTTTTTCGGGGGAGGGTACTGGGAGTTGAGTTCAGGACCTTGTGGCACTGAGCTATATCCCTGGCCCTTTCTAGTCTTAAATTTAGTTTCCTTTATGTTTTTTATTTTTCTTTTCTCTTCTATTATTCCTCCTTCCCAGAAACTTCTTTCCCTGCTCCCCATTTTCTCTTGCTGCTCCCCGGCCCTTTCTTTTTCCCTCCCCTCCACCCACCAGTAAGTTATACCAGACTAGGTGGGGGCAGCGAGTTGGAACCTCAGGTGGCGTGGATGTCTGAAGGACCGATGAAGCTGTTTTGAGACGTAGGTCGGTTCTCCTGTCCGTGTGAGTCCACCCAACAAAGTGATTTGTGCCTGTGCTCTGCCATTTCGTGTGGAGCATATTCTCCCTGAATCTTTCAGTACAGGAAGGAACTATTCTACTTGTTCTAAAAAGTGTTGAATGTGATGGCTGTTGTTTCTCTGTGGAGCTGACCTGTGCTGTATGGGAAGAGAAGTGCTAACTTGTGCCATTCACAACCAAGAGCTCCATCCCACTACCTTCTTAAAGTTACCAGTGACCTTGTAGTTGTGGACTCATCATATTTGGTCTCTTTAGAGAAACTCTCTTCTATTTCTTCTTTGAATCGCTTATTCATTGATTTCAGACATTTCCCTTTCCCGCTTCCACCTCTGTTCCTCTTCTTCTGTTTGTAAGGCTTGTGCAGCGTGGCCTCTGTGAGCCTCATCTTGCTCCTCTTTAGCTCTCCTTGTTGCAGGAAAGATCATTCCCTTGGCCTCTAATGTGCCCCTGTCTGCAGCACCGTGGTCCTTATTTTGTCTCTGTGGTTTGAGTCTTTGACCACTGGCACCTCAAACTCAAGGTGCAGTACCACAAATCTCTTTCTTTGCCTTCCGTCATCGAATCTGATGATCTTCTCAGCAGCTAACTCTACTTTGGAGACAGGGATGCAGAAGTTGTAATGGATCCCATCAAAAGGTTTTGTGTATTAATCATAAACTTTTTGTATGTAGTCCCCCACTTTCAGTCTTGGACTCTAAACTCAGAACTTCTTTCTCTAAAAATGTCTCTAAGGTCCATGCAGATTTTTCCTCCCTGTGGCTGTTGACTGCATAGATGGAGGACTAATTTTCCTAAAGTACGGCCTCTGCAGCATTTAGTGCTTTGCCACAGGCACTTGCAGTGGCTCAGTAGAGAAGTACAGACACCTCACTGCACCCCCATGCAGTTCTCTTGTGTGTTGTGTTCTCAGGCACTCTGCGTCCCCCTTCTCCAGCCAGTGCAGGACCTACTCCTCCTTGAGCCTTCCTTGAAACTGCTCGTCATGCTGCAGTGTTCCCTTCTCAATACTCTGTTTCCTCTGTCCAGCTCTGGTTCAAATTCCCACTGGGTCTGAGCCCTTTCTCAGTGTCTGCACTTGAAAGTAGCTACCTTTTCTTCTAAGCTTCATTGGTCTGATCATTATACCTCTGGTACCCTGTGCAACACCTGCAGTCACTGTGGTCAGTATTCCTTACCAGGTTTCAGTTTCAGAAACCTGGTAAGGAATACTTATTACTTACCTAATAAGCAAACAGATCCATTATCTGGGATTTAAATTTTTCTCAAGAACTCTCAAATACCAGCGGGATTCTTAGAGTACGTGCAGGGTGCCATGTAGGTACCCTTCCTACTTCTGAAAGTGTGAAGCCAGTTGGGTTTCCTTCCAGCTGCTTCCTCTCTATTCTCACTAATGGATTTTGGTATCAGCCTTTGACTGACAGCACAGAGAGGCCTTGTATCAGAGGGGTTGTGGTTCGGTCCATCCACATGGCTTTCACTCCCACCTTTGCCCTGTTTGTGAAGGGCGACATGCACCGAGGGCAGGATGTATGCGTTCTTTCTGCTTCAGTTTTCTTTTTTCTCCTTCTCTTATCCTACAGGGAGCCTACCAGTGTCTGTCTCATAGGGAGGTAGTAAGAATTAGAAAGATGATAACCCTCTTTAAGTGCCTGGCACGGAGCAGACATTCGGTGAATGAATGAATGTAGGTGCATAAGGTCCTGGGAGGTTCTTGTGAACCGGGACAGGGCATGTGAAGCAGCAGCACCTGGGCTGCTCACAACCCACATGTGGTTGTGCTGTTTTTCTGAAGTTAGGGAGAGTGGGGGTGCTGTGGAAGGTGTACAGGGTAGAAGAACTGTAGCACAGGAGCCTGGTATGGTTTCTCCTGAGAATATTAGAAGATCTGAGGTTGTAAATACAATAGTTTAGAATTTGAGCTTAGAAGACAGAGTCTTGGTTATTTATTTCAGCCCTGCTGCTTGTTTGCTGCATGACCCCATGCAAGTTACTTTTTTATCTCTAGGTGGAGATAATCATAGTACCATATAGGCACATTAAATGAGATAATATATTCAAAATTCTGGGGATATTAAATGAGATAATATATTCAAAATTCTTGGTACATCTGCCTGGTACATAGTAAATGGTAATGTGTGTTGATTTCATTCTTGATGCTGTCAGTTTTACCACTGCTGTTGTCACCAGCCAGGCAGCCTGAATTCCCTCCTGTCCCCGCACTTGGTATTGAGTGGGAGATGCCCCTGGCAGTGGGCCATGAACTTTCCAGGCAACCAAGTCCTTGTCACTCCATCACCCTACAGTTGCCCTGCTTCTTTACTGACAGGTTTTTCTGTCTCTTGTTGCTGATCCAGCGCTTGGATATTCACATCCGACAGGGCTGTGCTGCGGGTCAGTCCCAGTGGAGGTATGAACCCTATGGAGCATGTAGCACGGCAGTTCTTAGCCTGTGGTTTATACCTGTGGTACCAGTGCTCCCCGGAAGCCTGTTCTCAGGCCTCCCCCAGGCCCACTGACTCAGAAGCTCTGGAGGTGGCTTCAGCAGTTGGTGTTGATTAGCATTCCTCCATAAAGTTGCTAAAATCCAAGAGCTTGTGTAACACGTGTTCTGTTTACTTTACCTACATTTGGTGTAAAATTCAAATGGTCAAATGTGCTCCTAGGCCTTTCAGGTGATTTGTAAATCCTGAACTCGGTAGGGCTATTGCCTTCTAATCATGCTTTTCCTGACACATTTGATACTACTTCCTTTGGTTGGGCTTTTCTGCTCTGGGTGTTTTGTTCTGACTTTCTAGAGGAATTTCATTCTTTACAGTAGCTCTGTCAGCTTCTAACTTCGTTGTGCTGGGCATACCCCACCCCATGTCAATTTCCTTTGGGCTGTCAAGAATCATCCGTGTGTGACAGTTACACTTCCTGTCCCTTTTCTTCCTGGAGAGTATTCGGAAGACCTCCTCCTGTTTATCTAGTAAAAATAATTACACTCTAATGTTTATTCATTCATTGTATTCATTTATTTATTTTCTATGTGTTTCTGGGGATTGAACCCAGGGCCTCCACACTGAGTGAGCTACATCACCAGCCCCTACCCTGCTTTTACTTTTTATTTTGAGACAGGTTCTCACTGAGTTGCTAAGTTTCCCAGGCTAGGCTTGAACTTCTAATCTTCCTACCTCAGGCTTCCAGGGTGGTGGGATTATAGGTATGCTTCATCATGCCCAGCCTACATTTTAGCTTTTGACAAAATGCTTTAATAGTGGGGATGAGTGTGGTGGCACATGCCTGTAATCCCAGCACTCAGGAGGCTGAAACAGGAGGATCGCTCGGAGTTCAGGGCCAGCCTGGGCTGCATAGTGAGTTCAGGACCAGCTTGAACCACATAGTGAGATCCTGTCTCAGGAAAACAAAACAAAACTACAGTAAACTAAACTTAAAAAAAAAAAAAGCTCTCAATTGTGTTCTGAATGCATGTGTAAAATTGGTATTTTTTTCTTTTTATCGTGTCATTTATGGCTATGTTATATCATCCCATCCATAAATTCTGGAATTTAGAATTGATTGCTACTCTTGAAGATCATTGTTTTGTGAATGTGATTTTAAGATATCTCTAGTGTGTCTTTTCCTTTTGCTAAATTATTTTATTGTACTAATCAGGAACTTTGCTGTTGATTGTAATATAATGGAATAATGTATTTATATTTATGGAAGATTTTGATATTTAAATTTTATTTGGAAATATATACGTTAGCTCTAGCCACATTCAAAGGATATTGAAAATATTACTAGAGATGAAATACATAGGCTACACTACCAAGCATAGAATGTTATTAAACAAGTGTGCTTTCATTGCAAGTAACCTAAAGTGTTTCTTTGTAATTGTGTAATGTACTCAACAGAGGTAATATGGATTTACTGACATGTCTAATAGTCATGGTTATTTAATTCATTAAAGAGGATGAAAAATCACGCATCAGAAGCACTTTATAAAGGAGAAGTTGAGAGATTGTCACATGCTACAGTTATTTAGCCAATATCAACAGTGCGTGCCTAAAGCATTTTGTTACTAGCTTTCAAGCTGATATGTTCCCTGTCAGTAGCCTCAGATCCACACAAGCACTGTTGAGTGACCCTGCTTTATTACAGTCATTCAGTAGTAAATGCAGACACACCATTGCTTCTCAGATCCCTACGTGCATAGTGGAGGGCAAGCGAAGGGAGCTTTCCCTTGCATTTCAAGAAGTTGATATCATCTTTGGGTAATAACGTCAGTGACACTACTTCCTTTTTTGCCTCTCTAGTACGTAAAAATTAAACCCATTTGTTTGATGAAATATTTATTAATTACAGAATGAGGCAGCCTCTGCCATCAAAAGTACATACAGGTTGTTTAAGAGTAGGTTTGTATTTCAGCACGTAATTACAAAGCAATGTGATAAGTACAATAATTGAGGCATGACAACATGCAGATGACGGAGTGGTTGATTTTGAGGTGGTAGTGGGAGATGGGCCAGATGAGATTCCACAGACCAAGTGATGGCAACTTAGGGTTTCACAGAAGAAAAAGTTGCTAGGTGAAGAGAAGGAAGTGTGTGCAGTGCCCCAGGGGCAAAAGCATAGCACATCCTGGCAACTGCAGTTTTATGCAGCTGTATAAAGTTAGAGGAATGAAAAAGCGGTTAGCATATGATTCCGGAAGGGTAAGTTCTGTGGCCTCTGGGGCCTGATGGCCACGGGAGGAAGGAGGCCTGGGCTGTGCGTTTCGATGATTGTGTTGGAGCTGGTGACACATACACATTTATAGAGGATGATTCTTCCTTTGTGTGTTTCCTCCAGCTAGTATAAATTAGCACCCATAATTCCAAACCACATTTTCCTTTAAAAAATATTTTTAACCCACAAAGGGATTCAGGAAAAAATAGTAGTAAGTAAGAATAAGTAGGGTTTGAAAAAAATCTTCTAATGTGGATATTACTGCTTGTGGGTCAGCAGCTACATTTCTTGTGTGTACCACGGATAGCACATTACACTTAACACATGTCTGTAATCCATGATCTATGGGAAGTACTTTGGAAGATATCAAGAAAACTTATCTGCCTTTTAAGAATGTTAACTATCGTTAGGGGATACAGTCAAGAACTGCAGTTAAATCTTAAAGGGAACTCTGTGAAGAGGAACTTCACATGCACTCAGAGTGGTGAAGTGGTTATTTTCAGCCAGGATGGTAGAGTTGGGCTACAGACACTGTGGCCCAGGGAAGCTTTGCTGAAAAACAAAGCATTCTCCTCCCCGGTTTATAGACACTGAGTGTGAGTGGAGGATTTAATGTTGCGTGTACCTCCGGTAGTGTACTGTTGAAATACAGAAGGGGCTCTTTATAATCCTAAGGAGAAATTCTTCCCCCAGGATTTCAGAGGGTTTTTTTCAGCCAGTTGGAATCCTCAGACTCTTCATACCTAGCCTCTGTTTCAACCCCTCACTGTCACTTTTATAGATGAACTTTGGAAGTTGGGGTTTGTTTATGTCAGAAATATTAGCATTTTAGTGCTATAAAGGAGGTAGCATTGTCGAAATTATATGTGAAAGACTGTGGGATGTTTAGAGAGGAGGTTTTAGGGATGAACAGTTATTAATCTTTCCCAAGTATTAATTGAATATCCTTAAAAAGGTGACCATTTGCTTTCTGTTGGGTTCTCAGTGTTGGTTCGTTTTGCTTACCAATGGATGCTTGGAGTTAAGTTACACAGCCTTTGCTATACACTAGGATAATGTAAGAAATCATTTATTACCGTATTTTTTCTTTTGCTGCTTAATTTTGATTTCCAAATCAGTGACCTTTTAACGTCTCATTACTAGATAGAAATTAGCCATGTACACAGTCGTCAGCCTAGGGTTATGTTGTCTGTCTGACTGGTGCAGTGTTCTTGGCTTGATGCTGTGGTCTTCCTCCATTTCATACACGGCAGTCTCTGTGTGAATTTTTTACATAAGAATATGTATATTAAGGGGTCCATACAGATGTTAGTTGCTGCCAAAAAGAGGGTTGTTTCTTTAGCGATGAATAGTTGATTCTCCTGCCTGCAGTCGGTGCTGTTGTGGGTCTGACTGTGAGTGTAAGGTATTCTGGCAAAGTGAAACGGAGCGAAGCACACGAAGAACACCACCACCACCACAAACACTTTCCCCTCCACCTTCTTGCTGTTTTTGCCATCCTTACTTCTGAACCTTTTGTAAGAACTGTATACTTTTGTTGCAATTACCGTGTAAAACAGAAGCATTAGAACAAAAACAGTCCAAAAAATAAACTGGCATATGTAAGTGACCACTTGATGCCATCTCAGCCCCAGAGGGCCCTTCAGCGATGCGCACTTCTTCACAGACGACGGCGTCGCCGCCTTGTTGTTCAGGATCATATTTGGCAGGGACATGAGGAACAACAGGAACCAGATGAGGGTTGAGACCACTTTTGCAAAAACAGGTTTTTTAATAAAATATTTTCCAAAAGGTCTGATGATCTTGAGGAACCTGTCAAAAGCTATGAGGCCCAGCAGCACGATGCCTATGTACATGGTCTCGTAGAAGATCACGGCCGAGACACGACACACAAAAGCTCTTAGCTGCCAAGGTCCGAGGTGTGAGTCAGAGAGGATTTTGAAAGGAAGCATGAGTGTCATTAACAGGTCGGCCGCCAACGTGTTCTTGAGATAGACGATGAAAGTGGAGGAACTGGGGATGTGCGCGAACGTCCTCAGGGCCAGCGTGTTCAGCAGGACGCCCGTCAGGAAAACCGCCGTGTAAAGGACGGGGAACACCAGCTGTGTCATCCGGGTGTCTCTTGGGCACCGCTCGGACCGGTTGAAGCCCTGCATCACCGTGGCGTTGATGGTTTCCAGTGTCATCTATTACAGAGAGACATGTACACAAGCAGAGGAAAGCAAAAAGCCCTTCGTGATGGCAAGTGCTACTTTAGAAAGACAAGCTTTAGGTTTGTCGCATATGGGCACCCTGCATGCATCCAGTAGGTCTGTTGAGAGCCCACATGTCGTTTCTGGCTAGAAGTTCTAAAGCACATAATACATTTTTGGTACTTTAATATCATTACTTTTATACCCTTGTGAAATCTGAGTAACAGATTCCACCTCATTCACAATTGCCATTTTTAAAATGGCAGTAAACCAAAACTCTAATTAAATGGTAAGATAATACATGTTATATGCTGTATCTTATATACTGTAATTTCTTTATGCTCATATTCTACGATTTGTAGAATGCTAACTTCAAAGCATTTTTTCTGGAGCATATTCTGCCTTTTAAAAGCAAGCACATTCATAAGAAAAATTGAAATTCACCTTCATTCATGAAGATACTCAGCTCTGCGTCTTCTTATTCCTGCAGTCATTAATTCGTCCTGAGAAGAGCTTCTGCAGCTAATGTTCTCCTTTCTTATACTGAGTTTCCTTCCTCATTTCCCTCGTGTACTTTTGTAATATGACCTAACAGAGCACCGTTTGGAAGTTTTGCAAATAAACTCTTTTATTGCAGACTTATTAACTGTTAGTCTATAATCTGAATTATTTAATTGCAGTTATCTTTGTTTTCTCATAACTTGCCTGAAGTTGTATCTTTTTATTGTACATAGTCAATATTTTGAGTTCTTCCAGTATGAAATAAGGTTGGAAAAATATAGTTCCAAGCTGCAATCAAGTAGGAGATGAAGATTTGGCTCTAAAGTCAGAATCATCTTCTGCGTACGTGCAGACTGCTTTTTTTTCAGAAATTTTTGTTCACAAGGATGGCCTGCTTTTGTTGACTTATTATTGTTATTATTATTATTATTTTTTTTTTTTGTCTTTTTGAGACAGGGTTTTTCTATATAGTTCAGGCTGGCCTTGAACTCACTTTGTAGCCCAGGCTGGCCTCAAACTCACAGCGATTCTCCTGCCTCAGCCTCCAAGTGCTGGGGTTACAGGCATGTGCCACCACACCCAGCTTTTGTAGACCCTTGTTTTAGTCTTTTGATCCTGGGATTTCTGAGAGATAGTATAACATTTTCTAAGCGGTAGGGTTCTTAGACCCAGATTTTTGAGGTAAGAACCCTAAATCCACTAATTGTTTGGTACTAGATTATTGACAAATGATTTAACAGCTCTGCATCTAAGTATTATTGCCTTTAAATGTGTCTGAAAATATTATCAACATCATAGCATTGTTGAGAGGGTGAAGTAATTGTATAGAATTGTGCTGAGCACATGGAAAGCACTGAAAGTGTTAGCCACCCACAGCTCTGGTGCATGAATTGCAGAGTTGAACGGAGATACGATTTCATTTATTAGAAAGCCATTTTTAGGAATCTTTTTGTGTTGTATCTGAAGTACAGAACACTGTGGAGAGTTCATGAAGTGTTTGTAGGCTAAAGTCTTTAGAATTAGTGTTTCTTTTCCTTTACATCTCTTGAAACATAAAGTTGTTGACTATGAGGGTGTGCTTCCCAGATAGGGGAAGGGAGAGAGGACATTAGGAGATCTTCTGGGACACACGGACCCACTGTGATAAGTTTCACTTCCTGTTTCTTGCCACCAGTGTGACCATAGAATTGGACCAGATTGGAGAGTTGAATTCATCAGAAAATTTTGGAGGACCTGGCTCAGGATTCTGAGATACAAATTCTGTATTCCCTTGAACATTTTTAAATATGAGGTGACACAGTGCCTAATAATTTTGGTTGATTCTAACCAGTGGGCAGTACCATTTGAAAAATTCATGTGTGACTCAAATATTGTTGATCCTCAGGAACACAAGACTCAAGGTTTCACTAATGTAGTGTGACATAATTTAAACATGTATCTTTTTGTTTGCCTCAGCAAGGCTAGCAATGAAGCAAACCTTTTTTTTTTTTTTTTAATTTTTAGGTAGAGGTACCTTGCCTATACAGTTCATTACAAATTTCCCTCCAGCCCCCAATCAATTATCTAGGTTTAGAATGCTTTTACTTTAAACAAGGTAAATTCTGGACAGGATAATTTCATAATATGAAAACTGGAAATCACATTTTGGTTGAATTTCAAAATCCCAAATGTGTGAGAAACTTTGAAAAGAGGAACCAATTAACTATGTCCGCTTCTGGTCATGGAAGTGAATTCTTTTAAATGTGTGTGTGAAAGTGTTTGACCATTGGACTTGTGAAACTTTCTGCCACAAACTGAGATTAGAGGTTGAGAACTGTGCTGAGGAAGGAATCAAAGACAGAAAGGTCATAAAATTTGGACTGCCAAATGGCGGCAAACTCCTTCCATGTCTGGTCTCCAAGTTAGGTCAAAGGCTTTCTATTGATGAGACTAATCAGGGATGTGTGGATAATATCTGAAAAGATGAGGTATTTGCTTTGATTTGGAGTGACAGCTGACGTGGGAACTTCCATATTCCAAGAAGATACTTTTAATTCTCATCAAAGTAGATCATGGTACTTTCCTCCAATCACATAACATTATTTTAAAAATTCCATACTATTGTACCCTGTGGTGATAAAGAGCTGAAATAAATTAAACAATTTAAGAGTAAATGTAATGTTATTTGAAAGTTAAAATATTTAAAAATTTCTACTTGTAACTCAAAACAGACAATAAATTATCAGTATTATTTGAACCACTTAATACTTTAAATTCAATATGTAATGTTAAAGTATGTTTTTAAAAACACTTTCACACACACATTTAAAGTATGTTTTTAAAAACACTTTCACACACACATTTAAGAAGTGTATGTAGCGGAATGTGAAAGGGTATCCCCCTTCATACATGTAGCAATATATGTATACATATATATTTACATTGTTTACACATTGAATCTTTGCTTAGGTCCATGTTAGTATATATAGACATATTTTAAAAAGCAACATACATTTATAATAAATATAAATATATAAATCTAACAGTTTAGCTGCAACTGGGGACATTTAATTTGTTTCCAAGTTTTCCATTAAGTGTGATACTATGAAGTAAATAAATGCCCATATTTTCTTATGCAGTTATTCCAACATATTTGTGGGAAATTTTCTGTAAGTAGGATAGCTGGGTTGAAAATTAGGTGACAGAATGTTGAATGGTACTTTCAAATATGTTTCCAGAAAGATGGTACCAATTTCTTCTCCTATCAAGAGTAGAATTCCATAAAACTGTTACAAAGAATTTTTAAAATCAATCAGAAATTTACAAGTAAAAAAACTTTGCCATATTTTATATACTTTGTATTTTAATGTGATGGAAACATTTTCAGTTGGAAACTTTAAATAAAAACTGTGCCACAAATATAAACTTACAATTTATAAGGAGGATGTGTATGTTGTTATTGGCCATTTGTATTTCCCTTAGGAACTGCTTTCTTTTTTTTTTTTTTTTTTTAAAGGAATTGCTTTCTACTGTCCTATTCAGTTCTAAAAACGAAGCTGTTTCTCATTATTTGTTTGTTTCCATGTTTTTAGTTCTGGCGACATGCTAACCCCGGTCTGGGCATTACCTACCAAGAGCAACCAGCTCTTTTCTGTGTGAAACTGCTGAAACACCTGTGTGTGTGGAAAGGTGATTCTGTTTGTGCAGAATTTTTCTTTCTGTTCTTACAGTGTTACTTCAAGGGCTGACAGTCTCCATTTTTGGAAGAACAAGTTAGGAAATACTTAAACTGTGCAGGCCATGCAGTCTCTGTTAGCACGACTCAGCTCTGTGGCCGTGGCTGGAGAGCAGCCGTAGGCACAGCCTGCGTGCATGGCTGTGCTGCAGCGAAGTTTTACTTGTGTGCGCTGAAATGTGAATTTCATGTTTCACAAAATTTTCTTTTGAATTTCCCCCTCAAACACTTGAAAGTATAAAAAGATTCTTTGACCATAGATTGTGCCACATAAGTGGTGAGCGGCGGTTTGGCCTAGCAGCTGTGGTTGCCGCCCCCGCTGGGATGCCTTCCGATAGGAACGGCCCTCACTCGCGTCTGCAGGCTTCGGAAGCCACCGAGCTGCGCCAGGACCACATTCTGTCTTTTTAGCTTCTGAACTTTTCACTCACCCATAGCTGTATACTGTTTTACAAGACAAAAGTCACTCTGAAATGTGGGGTTTATTATATCAAAAATTTTAAAGCTGGAGATAGTGACATATAGTATGTATAATTAGCACTCAATAAATGCTAACTTCTGAGGGCGTCTCTTGTTTGTAGAAGTGTATGGTGCCTACTGTCTTCGAGTCAAGAAATTCCAACAAAATATGTCTTAGAGTATGTGTGTGTAGGTATGTGTATATATATAATGTTATATAGCATAATATATATTATATAACTATATACACACATTTATATGAATGATAGGTAATTCCAAATACAATTCTTTTTATAAAAATCCCATAATACTATATAGCATTTAGAGTTTTTCCTATCTCTTTGAGGAAAAATGTCATCATAGCAAATTAGTACAGTCCAGTAAAGGATTGTTCAGATCCTATCTGTCTACGCTGCAGTTTCCCAACACACGTCGGACCTCCTTGGCACCATGCAGAGATCCTTTTTAGTTCACTCTGTAGTCCTGACTTGGAATGGGTTGAGAGGTTGAGCTGTGTTTCATGTGTCTCACATGCAGAGTATGGTGGTTTGATGGATCTGGTTGATCTCTAGGTTCTCTTCCAGACCATATATCCTGATATTCTTACAGAACTTGCAGGCATAGTCATCTGATGTGAAAGTAGACTTACGTGGCAGAAATGGCCAGGGCTGTTTTCCCAGCAGTACGTAGAGTATGTGTGTTTGTAACACCGATCTGTGTGTATCTCCACTGTCATTCAGTGCTCCCTTGTACCCATGGCAGAGTAGGAAATGTAGCTGCTTGAAGGACAACTAAGGGACTTACATGAGTCCCTACACTTGTACCAAAGCTTAATTCTACAGAAGTTATAGCGGGTTTGGATATTATTGAAGTTCAGCAAACTTTTCTATGTCATAGCCTACCCTTTTTATTTCTCCAGACATGTATTTAGATATTGGTGTCTGTGCCATCTTCTGTTTGAGAATCACCTCTGAGCATTATAAATAATTGGATAAGTGATTTTTTACTTCTACTGTTACATATTTTGTTTATATTAAAAACATCAAATATGACCCTGATGTGACCATTATATTTATATGCTGAAATGTTACACCATACCCCATAAATATGTACCATAGGTCAATTAAAAAGTAAAGATACCCAGTATGGTTTGTGTGAAACCAGGCTATATGCTGTAAGTATGGCCAGTTTTATCATTTGTATGTGAGCTTGTTGAGGTGACATCTTCACAAGAGACCGCACAGTGGCATGTAATAAAACAGTGTTGGCGGTGATTCTTAAATGGGTTTAACGTTTCATGTAGTTGTATGGGAAGAAGGTAAGCCGTGGTATGGAGTGTCTTTGAACAAAGAATGCCAACAAAGCGATAGAGTTTATGCAGATTTTTATCTCATACACACAAATACAAATAAAGTTATGCCAAATAGTCACTTTCTTCATAGTAATTACATTGTGCATGTTTCAGTAATCATGTTTCATTCATTTTTCCTAGTAAAGGGAAATGTTCATTAGCTCAACAGGTATTTCTAGATGCTAGTTAATAAAAATTAGTGTGAACGGTGGTACTATATCCATTGAAGTTATGAAAATATTAGTAAAACTGACTTCCCTTTTTTATTATTAGGTTATTATAAAAGTAATTCTCCTAGTTTTAGTGATTTCATTTTCTATTGCTGCTGTTTAGTAAGAAGGCATTCTTTAAATCTCTGTTATCTTAGTGAATAATTAAAAAATTCAGTCCCATGAAATACCATTTCAGTTAGTTTCAATCCCAGAAGATTTTGATAATAATTAAAAATCAGTAGTTATGCTTTACATATCTTACTTAAATTTATATAAATCTCATAATAGGCTATGAGTTTGGATAGGGGAGTAAGATGTGTATACATCATATTAAGAACCATTTTCGGGTTCAGCCATATCAGATTGACCTTTTTTTAATGTTGATAAAAAATAAAATTGTGATCAATGATATTTAAAAAATTACAATAATTACTATATGGTAACCCATTGCAAAAGCTATGCAAATAATTAATTCTTGGCAGTTTTTCATGCAGCATGGTGATTGAGCATGTTTTTTTTTTTCTACATAATTACAGATTGAATTATTTGCAAACATTTTGAGATAGCTTTTTTAGACTAGAAAAGGAGGTGAAATTTTGTAGTTATGTATTGAAGAGATACTGTTACGAATCCAGCTCTTCTTAGTGTTGATGTTTTTACACAGTGCTTTCCTTGGAGGGATTCTTCATACTAATAGATTGCAGCACTTCCCTGGGTAATTTGTTTACACTGGAGTGTCTTCATTTGGGTCATCGCTATCCTGTCCTTTCTTCCTGTTTTCTCGGGCTGGAGATTTTCCAGAATTGTGGCATCTCAGCATGCTTATCAAGGAATTTCTAAAGGATTTGCAAAGGAAAAAATAGATGAATGGATCCAAGCACGCATTCAAGGAAGTTAACCAGAGTGTGCTTTCTTTCACGAAGAACAAAGTGTTCTCTGCAGCACAGTCAAAGACATCCCGGGTCTGACTCAGGGTGTAGGGAATTCGGGCAAAATGGAAAGGAACAAAACAAATAAAGAACACAGCGATGATGATGAAAACTTTGACATTCACCTTTTTCCTGGGGGCTTTGCTTGCTCCCCTTGTTCTGACATACGATCTGTAGAGTTCTTTTGTAATGAGCGTATAGCATACGATTACAATTAAAAAATTAATCCAAAAAATGACTTGACAGATATAATTGACTATTTCATGCCAGACCAGCCCAAACTGTGATTTGAAGAAAGAGCATTTCTTTACATTCTTGTCTTCGGGCCTCCTGTTGGTGAGAATCATATTAGGCAAAGAAAATAAGAACATGAAGGCCCAGATGACAACAGAGAGAATCTTAGCCCCCAAGAGATTGCTGGGGTTGGAAGTTTTAAATGGCCTGGTGGTCTTCTGGTAACGGTCAATAGTGATCAGTCCTAGGAATGAAATACTGATGTACATTGTGAAATAAAATATGACAGAAGTAACTTGACACACAAAGGTTCTCAGAGGTCCTGGTCCCAGTTCGGCATCACTAAGAATTTTGAAGGGAAAAGTGAGAATCATGAGAAGATCAGAAATGACTGTGTTCTTTAGAAAAATAATGAAGTTAGATTTACTGTTGATTTGAAAGAAAATCCTCATTGCCAGGCTGTTTGTGATGAGTCCAACAAAAAACAGGACAGTGTAGAGCAGCGGAAAGAGGATCTGGGTGATCTTGTAGTCCCTGGCACACAGGCTGCTGTTCCCAGGTGCAGAGGTGAGGTTGCTGATGGCCTCCATTTCCTCTTAGCTGCCTAGAGCAGGAGGGAGGGGGATTATTTTAGTCCCAGCAGTTCATGTTAGTGTTAGTGTTACAGCTGTGTGTAACGTTTTCAGGTACAACTTTCACTAAACAATGAGATTTCTGGTCTTTATTGTGTCAGTTAATAGGATGATAGAAAACAGAATCTCAAAATATGTATCTTAGCAAATGTTCTAGGGTAGCAAAGTATAATGATATGAAGTGCATTATGTAATAATTAGGGGTGCGCTACCTGTCTTGGATGTTGAATATCTGCTTTTTAGAACAGTTTTGATCTTAGTCTAAGACTATCTATGTTTACGTATAAAAAGGCCCCCCCCAAAAAAAAATTTCTTGGGCTATGCTTTATTCTTTCCCAACTTCACTTCCATGTCTTTTAGAGTCTTAAGTTTCTATGTATTTATGGTCATTTTTCCTATACCATCCTTATTCCTGGCTTCATTTACTCTAGTACTATTACATACTTGGAAGCGAAGTGATTTACAGTTACCCACTAGAATTTGAAATAAAAAGTGGAAAGAAACAAGTGTGAAATCACTCTTGAGGGATTTGTTAAACACTGGATCAGAAAAGAGAGCTGAGACATTTTCCTGTGAATGGTGGGATACTCCTTTCCCGGTACTGCCCAGTCATCTATTCAAAAGTCAGCTTTGTGGAGAATAATTGTTTATCTCTACATATTTTTATTAACTCATGTATGTCTCACTTCCAACTTTGTTGGCTATATTTGAAGTTTTATATAAATTTTATAAATATCATTTAAAAATTTAAAACTAAAAACTAAGGAACAACCTTGGTATATGTGCTCATTCGTCGGCACTCCTTACAATAACCAGGATATGTTCTTAGGTGCTTGGAGTTATAGAATGGTAGCTAAATGGCAAATCTATGCACTTCTCTGACTTCTTATTATGACCAAAAGAGGCAGTTATAAAGAAAATTAACCATTGATTTCAATATTGCTACTTGGCATCTAAGTTTTGAAGCTTGAGGTGAAATTTGTGATATTTTATTTCATGTAAAACAAAATTGATTCTACAAAAAATACCATTCCTGATAAACATAGTCGTGTTGAGAATACAAATATCTAAATTATAGAAAAAAACCCACTTCCATGTAAAAGATTTAACATAATAAAGGTAGCACTAAATTCCTCAAACTGTTAATGGAATTTTTTTAATTCTATAATTATTAAAAGGAAAACAATTTAAAATCACACTGCCACCAGTCCGTTTCCATTATCAAAACCTCCCATCTATTTAACTCTAAAAAGAACTGACCTAAACTCAGTATTTTATTGATAGAAGATCATTGATTTTTAACCTTCTTTATTACTACTTTGTAATTCTTAGTTTCATTCTCTGACAGTTTTGACAATTCTTTATAAAAGCTTACTTGGCCTGAATAACTGATTAAGTATTTCTGACAGCAAGAATTTTGGCTCCCACTGTACTTAAATCTCACTGTCTAGATAAATACAACAATTTATAATTTATTTCTGTGCTTTGCATGTTTTTTTTTTTTTTTTACTGAAGGGCTTAATGATCATCTCTGATACCCTTAATATGACTTGTATTTTAATTTTCCAAATACGTGCTTGCAGTGGTATTGTTCTTTAAGGTTTTTTATTTAAAACATAAAAAACTTACATACCCATCATAGTATAAATACATATCTGTCCAGTACTTTTATATATATATATATAGTATATATATAGCATTACCTGGTTATTCTGTTGATCTGAAGGGTCTAAATGTCTCCAGTAGTGGTAGTTAATGCAATTTGCAGACTGACATCTGGTATTTTTCTTCTAAAGTCTTAATTTAGTTGGCAAAACAGTTTGTGATTAAGATTTGCTGAGTTTTCATCAGTGAAGTCTTGAGTAGTCTAGAGAGAAATGGAGAGAGAGAGAGCTTCACCATCAGAGATCACCTTCAACACTGTGGACTCAAAACTATGCAGACACTGAATTTCCATCTGTCTGCTTTTAGGACTTCTGCTTTTATCCTGGGAAATGAAGGTCAAAGTTGGCTGAGAAGTCATCTACTAAAAAGTAGTGTGAAATCTTGTGACTTTTTACTGAAGCTTGATTTATTACTTGGAGTTCTTCGGTTATTTTTCTTATAAATTGTAAATCCAAGTTGAGATGAAACCTTCCAAGTTTGCTTCCTGGAGGTTGCAAGCTTGCTTTCTGAGATGGTTATTCACCTGAAAACATATTGTGCTCCACACTGGATGAAATATTACCTTCTAACAAGTAATTGCATTAACTCAAAATGTGTGCTGGTTAGGGATGTTAAGCCTCTTGCTTTTTGTTTTTTCCCTGGTTAATAATGTCATTATTTTAAATCTGTGTTTGATTAACTTCTTTGTAGTTTCCTCCCATTATAAATGATCAGATTTCCAAATTACATTATGAAAGAAAAGCAGTTTTATCCATTGCCAGACATACAATATAAAGCAACCTTGCCCTTCATGGCTTTCTTAAATAGGATTTAAATATAAACAGTTTTTTAAAGGACGTTTTTACATAGATTTGATTAGGGAGAAATTGGAATGATAATAGTAAATTAAGGAACTCTTGCATTACTAATATGTACAGTTATTTTAAACCCAAAGGGCAACAGATATGGTAGGAGCAAAACTGGAGGGGTAACGCTTGCTGCCCCTATGCCTTGCATAAACAGGTGTAACATCTCCAACTGTGTTGTCCTCCTGTTAGCAGTACAACCCTTTGGGTAGGTCCCTTTACTGTGATTCATGTTTCAGTCATTTCTTTTGAATTTTGAGTGTTGTGTCTATATTTTCAGCTACCAAATTTCTTCAACATTGATTCTCGAAGTGCTGAACCTCACCTAGAATGTATATTCTCAGTACCTACCTAGTCTGCATGAATCAGGAGCTGGCGTGTATCAGCCTCTGCCCGTGTTTTAATGAGCTTTCCATGTGATGCTCAGGCACGCTAACGATGGAGGACTACTAATTTAAATGGACATGAGAATTTTAGTGGCATTGTGAACTTGAAGCCAGCTACAAGTATCAGTTTTACTCATGTTTCAGTTACTTGCTAATTCTCATCTGTTGGCCATCTAGAAATATTAGCTTCATTTTAAACCTTTCTTTGAAGAAAGATTGTGTTATTTTTATTTTTACATTTACTATCATAATAAAGCTTAATTAGCCTTTCTTGTTGGTTTGGAGACCTAAAATTTTAAAATAGCAATAATCACTATTTGATTTCTTTTGCTGTCATGAATGAACTCATCTCAGGTACTCTCTGAAGTAAATACTGTACTTCTTGTATCCTTACTCTGGATGAAGGAAACAGAGAAGCAAAGCTTTCAGGTTAATTGGAGGCTTTTCCAGGCATCTGGTTCCAAAGCTGACATTTTTGTATGAGCTGTGTGTGTATAGTACTTGGGAACCTGTCCTCATACGCACATCTTGAGGCCCAGGAATGACAGGAGAATGACAGGTGTGGAATGGCTATACTTCTTTAAATAAAATGAGGATTATATGTGCCTTTGTATCAAGTTATAAACTCTACTGGATGTTTATGATACGTTTCTTTACGATGCAGATAAAGAAAGGCTTATAAGAAAGTCATTATTTTCTGTAAGTCACTCTGCCCCACTAAAGGAAAACAAATTCAGGATTCTTCAATTATACTACTCTTTCGAACATGTATATTTCCAAATCTCTAGGGGCACACTTTTGTTCAAGTTAACTTTGCCTATCCTGATTTTAACTCAGCTGAAAGAAATAATGTTTAAAGACATCTTTTGAGAGCTCTTCATTTGGTTTTTCTTTATTTTTTTCGTTTTCATTTGGTAAACTAAAGACTTAGCTGAGTCTGTTACTTCTTAGAAGCTGGCTATACTACGTGGATGTCCTGCACCACCGTGGTGTTCAGTTCACAGTGTGCACTGGCACTCCATCGGAATGTTTAAGCATACAAAAACAGAGGCGAAGTATGAAGTGCTGTGTTTTCCTTATCAGGAAAATTACATCTACTTCATCTGTTTTTCATAAGTATTTGGAAGAAAAGGATATACATTTCAAATGGGATTATTTTTTGTTTAGATATTAGTTGAATAATTTGAAAACTATGATTATTGAATAACTATAACAATATCAGAAAATGTGAATAAGGCGAAAGGAGAACCCTCAGCTCTGAAATCTCACATCTTTCTGAACATATATTTGGGCAACATTCATTTATTTTAAGGACATTAAGATGACTTAGATCAAACCTCAATTTTGTTAACTCTGTTTCTTCCCTGTAAAGATATGTGGCTGAAGAAACATATTTTAATTTCTGTAATGCAGTAAACCCACCATGGTTCCAAGTGCATTTCCTCCTGTTTTCTTGACTAAGTCTGTGGACGTGGGGTAGTATCTGGGAAGGGAAAGTCTGTGATCTGGAAGGTGAAGTTTTCAGAACTCAGTTGATGGGGAAGGCATCCCATTCAGTTCAGCAGCAGGAAGTAGGAAAACTTACAAGAGATAGCTTGGGCTATCTCCATTTGATTCTTTTTCCTGCTTAAGGAATGTATCCTTTAAGGAATAAATGATAGAATAATGTTCTGGTGCTGATCTGAGATCATTACTATGCACTTGTGAATTTTTAAGTACCAAGTTGAAAGAAGTTCTTGGTACCTTTGGAAACATTTGATATTTTTCATAGGCTGACCACTTTCTCATTCAGTATAAATGGTAGTTGAAGAAGTGTATGTCCTATTTGTACAAAACAAATTATGTAATCAAGTCTTATAGGTGACTGAAAAAAAAAGTAGCTTTAAAATGTTTATACCTGTCTCCTTTGAAGGCTAGTACAGTACCAGCTATTGTGATTTTCCTGAAAGTATTAGCTGTAAGAAACAAATTCTTTCCATCCCATTTAGGGGTTAATCACTGATTCCTTTCTTGCTAACTGCAGGTTGCTTTGGCTTTTACTTTCGTCCCCTCACTAGCAAGTCCTGGCCCACCTTCTTCACCCAGCTAGCTCCCTAAGCATGTCCAGGACAATGCACTGACTGGAGATTCTTTAAATTTCTCACCTGCTCACTTGCACATTTGTCTTTGTTTTTATGAACCTTTCCCCCCCTCCCCCTCGGGTAGAAAAATGTCCCTTTCTTTCCATATTAATCTAAACAAAAAAGCCCATTGTCTCCTGTCTTCTTTATCACTTAATCTACTCTTCAATCTTGATTTCCTTTTGGAAGACTTCTTTGTGTGAATCACATCTTTGAAACAAGAGTTTCAAGTTGATTATCCAAATAAATTTTTTCTTTTCTCTCAGGCTGTAGTTGTTCATGTTCAGTTTGTAGTAAATGTGGGTCACTTCATTATTTCATCATCGTCTCTTACTTCAGCCCTTGTTTCCTGCTTTCTTCTCTTAGCACTTTAGAGAAACTTCTCTTTTAAGGTTCACATACAGCATTTCAGTAAACAAGCCGGTGGCATTGTTGATGGCCCATACTTTCATGTCTCCTGATGTCTGTGACCCTGCATTTTCATCAGAGCATCTTACTACTTACGAAATGTGCACGCGACCATTTCATGGCATGTTTGCATGCTTCATCATCTCAGCTCTTCAGTTTTCTCCCAGAAACAGAAAGTGTGGAGATTTGTACCCCTCCCAGCAATAGGCACATATGCATGCTTATCCCTCTCACCCACAGCAGTGACGATGTCAACCCAAAAGCTGTGCAGTTACAGTACATTTCCCTCTGTTCTGCAGATTCCTTGCACTAACATCCTTCCAGCCCTCACAGTGTACTTTTTCTCACCAGAAGATTTTTCAAGTCGGTCCATCTGGAAATCCATTTTGACGTACACCCACTCCTTAGATTTGGATACCCAACCCTTTCCTAACTTCCCTCAGATACTCTTGGACTTCGCTTCTTAATTCCGGTACTCATCGCTAAGACTCCCTACCAAGATTTTAGCTCAAGCTTTCTACTTGATGCTTGCTTACTTCCCTTCAGGTTTGTTGCCACTGAGGTATATCATGCTGGGTTCCCTATGAAATTAATCGCTGCTTTTGTCTTCAGCCCTTCCCTATTCCTTTCACCGCGTGTTTGTTTATTAGTCCAGTTATGTATTTGGTGTACTTGACAAATACTCGATGCCAGCTTGATGTTTATTAAGGAGAGTGCAAAAAAGAAAAAAGAATAAAACAAACATGAAGTCTTTCTCAAAGTCTGCAGTCTAACAGGGAAGATGGACATGAAGACAGTGCCTAGAAAATAATTGAGTTACATTACAATAAACCTTCCAAGCTCTTCTTCCCCTCCTAGTCTTAGGGTAAGTGTTTCCATGAACAGAGGGTCCGAGTGACCTGACGCTAGTTCCACACAGCATTTTGGCAAGTGCAGGTGAAGGTGCTGAGAATATTTTAGGTGGTAGAAAGAGCAACAGTATGGAAGGAGCTACAGCAGTCTGCATGGAAAATGTTGAATAGTGCTGTGCACTATGGAGCCTGGCGGTGAGAAGAGGATAGAAAGCCTAGAATATGAATTTTCAGCAGTGAAAGCAGTGTCCCATGTGCTCCTAAGCATTTCATGTACTTTCTCTCGGTTATTCTCCCAAAGACCTTACCAGGAAGGTGGTGTTCTCTCAGGGGAGGAATCTGGGACTCAAGAAAGTTCTTTATATGGGGTCTTGGAGTTGCCAAGTGATGGGACTCGGGTCCAGTCACAGCTCCCCAGTCTTGGACTGCTGTGAGTACCGTGTAGGTCTGTGGTTGTTCCGAGCTCCTGTGATGGGCACATTAATTTTGTAGGGTGCCTTCCCTCACTATCCCCATGTAGACTTCTCCCTCAGCAGTAAGTGCTTTTGACTTGAATCTGTGCTCCTTGAAGATGGGGAGCATTCATCTGTGTATTTTCCAAGTATTCCTACCATGTTGTACTTTAAGCATTTAGTTTACAGAGTCTTGCCATCACCTCTCTCAGAGACGTTAGTTTAGGACCAGCTGACATCCACCTTAACTGAAATGACTAAAGATATGGATGGTACCACTGGATTTGTAGTGTTCCCAGTGCCCTCCTATTCTCTTTGTAGAGATACATCTTCCCAGACCAAGAGCTATGGTACCAGTGCTGTGTAACAATAAGTAAAAGTTGGAGTTTTAACAGGCATAAGCTTATTCAGATGTGCAGCTTGGTATAAGAATCTGCCTGTTAACGTCCTCCATCTGCCACTGCCCCTTGTTCCTTGCAGTTAGGCTTGTCTGTTGAAAATGTGTCAGAATGCTAAACAGGAGCATCCTTCAGGAAGAACCTTTCTCTCTCTGTGTCTGTGTCCCTCTCTCTCTCTCTCTCTCTCTCTCTCTCTCCCCTCCCTCCCTTCATCCCTCACCTTCTTTCTGTCTCTGTGTCTCTCTCTGTCCCTCTCTATCCCTGTTTGTGTCCCTGTCCCTGTCCTGCCCGCCCTCCCCCTCCCTCCCTTCTTCCTTCCCTCCCCGTCTGTCTGTCTCTGTCTCTTTCTCCCTTCTTCCCTCTATTCCTCCCCCTCATTCTGTCTCTATCTTCCCCTCTCCCCTCCCTCCCTCCCCCCCACCCCCTTTCTCCCTGCCTCCAGCAAATTCCTACACTTGAATCATTACGAGTTGATGGAGGGATGCAGCAAGATAAAGAAGGAGGGCATGCAAATGTGTGTTTCTAGTGGAGTGTAATAAAAAGGAAGCAGTGCAGTGGAAGTGTGGCCAGGTGGCAAATGCATGGATTAGGGAGAGACTAACAAAATGATAGAGACTGTGAGCAAAGTGACAGAATTAGAACAGAACAAGCCTCTTACTTCACGTCTAGAGAAGCACAGAGGTACTTCGTGCTGAGCACATACACTTAGTTCTCCAGAATAAGTCTCAGCGTTCCATGGGTCTGAAGGTTTTTGCTCTTTGGTGCAGCCACTGCTCATTATCAACCAATGGGTCAAGATTTTTTTTTTTTTTTTTTTCCCCTGTGAGCTTCATTGCATAAGACAGTGGTAGCAAACGTAAATGCTTGGCACGGACAGAGTTGTACAGAAATTAAGAAAAGGAGCTATGTTAGGTTAAAGCTAGAGACTTTACCCCAAAAATGGAAGACTGTAGTATAATATCCAAGGGAAAGATTGAGATAGAAAATTACAAGCTATGTGTTAAAATGCGAACTCACCCTGGACTACTTAATGTTTGCTAAGGGCTGTATTTAGTGGTGCATATATATTTCTGCTATCTTGTAAATAAATAATTTCTTTTCCCATGTGGGAAAATCGAATTTGGACTTAGTGGTGGAGGGAAGAATGGGGGAGTTAGAACGTGTTTGCATTTCCAGCTGTTTACCTCACACTGAAGGGGACCTGCAGTAGGTTCTGTTTTATCAGGTGGAGATAAATAGAAATGTGTTTCTAACAGCAGTGTTGCACAGTAAATGTAATATTTTTTTCTAAAGACATTTGAAGGAACCAGTAAAAATTTCTCCCAAATATAATGTACATATCAGTGCTACACATGTAAAACCAAGCTTACTAAGAAGTAACATTTTCCTTAAGGTGAAAGTACAAATAATACAGTATGTTACATAATAGTAAATTAATACCATGTTCAATTTTAAGCAATGAAAAGTTTTTTAATAGCCAGAACTTACTCTGTAGGGTAGGCGCACATCAAATGCTTCTATTAAAACTTCAAGTCAGTTGTCATTGGGTTTTTTTTTTTTAACTTTAGCAAGTTCCAGACTGGACAGACAAGGGTTTGGAACCCGGTGTGGAGGTGCTGCGGTTAGTATGATTCAGGGGTGTGGAGAGCAAGCCCACCTCTGCAAGCGAGAGTCTCAGAACACATTTTCTGTTTTTCAGGATGAATCTTCAAGTCATGAGTGTAACCAGCGCACAATCCTTCTCTATGGAGTTGGCAAAGAGCGGGACGAAGCCAGGCATCAGCTGAAGAAGATTACCAAAGATATCTTGAAAATCCTAAATAAGAAGAGCACCACGGAGACAGGGGGTAAGGGCCTTAATGCTCCTGTGTTTTCTTTGTCTTCCTTCTTCACACAGTCTTTATCAGAGTGGTGTCTGCCACTCTCACTGGAGTGTTTCCTCTCTCCAGTGACTGTCACATTGAAATATGAATAAGCACATTTCAATTTGAAGAGCTTGTGTCCATTAGTAGCAACTGTTGTATTAAAATACCGTATTCTATAGATAGATATAGGTAACTTTTATTGTCTGCTCTTTGGGTATAAATTCTAAATTTCTACAGTGGTAGTAAAATGCTGAAGAATGAGTTGGAAAACCATTTCTCTGGACATAGTCCCATCTTCTTGTTTTTTTACCATGATTTTTTAGGCTTGTAGTTTTCTTTTGCTCTGGGGCACTCACATTTGCACCGAAGTTTTTCTTTACGAGTGAGAGCTACCTGTATCACCAAATAATTGAATGAAAAAGAAAATTGGGTGTTCAGAGTAATGCCTTCTTTACTGGGAATTTTCTTTGCCCTGTGCTTTTTACATATTTATAGTGAAGCTTTGCTTTTATATTATGTTACTACATTGTGTAATTGGAATTTTAAATTATCTACTTCACATTTCCCTAATTATTCTTTTCAAGGTTTATGCAGTCATATAATATATTACCCTCTACCATCATTCTTACTTATTTTTCCAATACTTCATTAATACAAAAAAAAAAGAGTTTGGATTAACTCTGTATAAACTGCCTGCCTCCTCTATATGTGGAGGAGAAATGTCCTTTGTATGGATTTCTCCACAGAAAATCTAGGCTTTAGACTTCAACAGGGTATATTGCTTGAACTTGTCCAAGCTAGATCTTTCTTAAAGGAAAAAATAGGTACAGATGTTTTGAAGAACTTGTAACTTCTCCTCCTCCTGTCTGTAAAGTTGCACGTGCAGAAACATGGGGCAGCATGTTTTAGTTTGGGTATGGGGTTCCGGGTGCTGATGTCTAGGCAGAGGTCTGTAGAACACAGTGAGAAGTTAGCATGATAGGGTTTACATCACTTTCCCCAACTCCTTTCCATTGCCACTTAATGACCTTACACTGTGAGGGAGCAGCCAGAAGCTGCAGAAGGGAAACGAAACCCTCTTGTTGGCTGCTTGTCACTGAGCTTGAAAAAGAAAAGTGCTCTGTCTAAGAAAATTAAATTGGTTTGATGTTCTGTGTCTTAGAGAAAAGAGGAAATGAATTGCATTAGAAGATTGAATTTAGAAACCCTGCAGCTAGATAGCAAAGAATGTTTGAGGCTAGTTTTTGATACGTAGGAAGTAAGGGTGGCAGGCGTTATCTTCTGTAAGAAATTCAGATGGACACATTGTATCCAAATTGCTTAGAGTCTGCAGATCCTATGGAGTTACTGGTTTTAGGAGGCTGAAGGAGGTGGGAGGGGAAGAAAGCATTGTGGTAGCCTTTTTTTGTTGCTGTGCAGTCTGCATCCGTTAACAGTTTTTTTCATGCCAGACTGTAATCTGTCCTGTTTTTGTACCACGGCCTTAAATAGGCTCTTCTGTCATACAAATTCACAGAGAGAAAATAATAGTTTTGTTGCTTTTTCAGGTTCCAGTAATAGAAACACTTCAGAGCAGCATCTTCAAAGAGATTTCTGTCTTTCCTTCATTTTAGATAAAAATCCTCAGCCAGAAAGGTGTTGAGAAGTCCTGAGCTACTTTCTGGGAAATACATTAGTCTTAATTTTAAGTCACAACTTAAAACTTAGTGTGCACACCAGCAGCTAGAGAGCTGCACTTCAGGTTAATGGAAATTTGCTCAGACTGCTCCTCTCGCATGAGGACGGGTCATGAGCTTGTGTTTGATTTCTGGGAATGCAAAAGAACGTGATTTTGAGGAACCATCCCTGTAAGAGTGTGGTCAGATCAGCCAGGCCTTGCCTAAGGGGCTTTCTAATCTGATGTTTAAACATGGTCAAACTTCATTTCATATTTTCATTGACTAACCTTTTTTTGGTTGGTAATGGGTCTCTTTTGAAAGCATTAATGAAATTTGTTATCACAAAGCCTAAAAGTCCAACGTTTTCTGAATTTAAGAACTTTTAAAAAAGAATGTTAAAATGATACAGCAAAAGAGCCATAAGTTATTAAAGCAAGTTAACATAAAATAGATTTAAAAATTTATGAATTATGACTTATTTCTTATGTAAATATCATTAAAATAATTATTTCATGGAAAAACCACCATTAATTCCTCACATTTTTCTTTTAAAGTGGGCATGAATTGCCAAGAATCAATTATATCCTTTTATATGAAGTTCTAAGAAATTAGCCCTATGTAAGTAAATGGGAGACTATTAGTGTAAACAAGAAGAGGGATTTGAGATTTCTTAGCTGGATCTACTTCAAGTCTGTTTTGGGCCTAGGAAGGACTGAATTAATACATTAACTTCACTTTTAAAGCAATGTGTACACATAACAATTGGTGTGATCTTTTTATCCTTGGATCACTGATGTTAGGAAATGAAAAAAATCAGAACTGGATATTTTAGACTTGCTCATGACCTATAAAAAGCTGTTGTAGGGCCGGGGATATAGCTCAGTGGCATAAGTGCCTGCCTGGCAAGCACAAGGTCCTGAGTTCAATTCCCAGTACCAAAAAAAAAAACAAAACTATAGTGAAGGTGAAGTTCCATGTTTAATTTGTGCTTATGAGAATAAATATTGAAAACTAAGTACATATAATGAAATTAGTACTTCTTATTCTTCGCATGTATCTGCTATGCTACTAAATGTGGCCCAGGCTTGTAATTTGTGTTACTCCAACACCTCTCTCTGTCTCTCTCTGTCTCTCTCTGTCTCTCTCTCTCTCTGTCTCTCTCTCTCTCTGTCTCTCTCTCTGTCTCTGTCTCTCTCTCTCTCTCTCTCTCTTTTTTCTTTTACTCCAGCACCTCTTAATTCTGGTGTTGACATTTATTTGTTTTAGCTGTTTGGGATACAACTTATTTTGTTTGTTTTTGTCTTGGGCTTTAACCATTAATTGCTTATTGTTGAAAGGGAAGTCGCTTTTCTTTTTATGTTACTTTCTAAAAGCATTGCCTTTTCCATTAGCAAAACATGTTTTAGTTTAGTGAATTCATGCTCATTTCATGCTCATTCTTTAATAGTGAAATCTGTAAAGTAAAATTTGTTCTCTCAAGTTTAACTTTCCCTAACAAGGAGGTAGTCTGAGCAGCAGAGCTCAGAAGTGGGTGCTCATTAACCACTTGGAACTATAATGCTGGGAAGAACCTTCAAGATCGTATAATCACATTTTGCCTTTGTTTTTGGATTTGTCTTTGTAAATACATATATTAAAAATACTTAAAAATAGGGGTGAATCTTCTGTTAGATCTTAGTACTGTTAAGAACACGATTTCGTCCGAAATAAACAGTGTAATATTTTTAACTGGAATTTTGTTCAAACGTGTTCATGCTAAATTGATAGCACTTTCCCATTAGTGTGGGGTGATTTAATTTCCTACTGTCCCTAAAAACATTAGGCATTATGTAAATTTCTCTTTTTACATATTAAAATGACTCAGGTAAGTATGGCGTGAGTCCCCATAGAAAATGCTAATAAGGGAGAGTGGGGCAGAGTGACCCCTCTCTTTTCACTGTTGATGTCTTTTTTTTTCAAAGTGGGGCAGAGTGACCCCTCTCCTTTCACTGTTGATGTCTCTTTCTTTCAAAGTGGGGCAGCGTGACCGCTCTCCTTTCACTGTTTTTCATTAAAAAAAATTTTTTTGAGACAGTGTTCTTTTTTGTAGTTTGGGCTGGCTTTGAACTCACATTCAGGCTGTTCTCAAACTCATGGCAATCCTTCCGCCTCAGCCTCCAAAGTGCTGGGATTACAGGCATGTGCCACCAGGCCCAGCTGATGTTTTTGTATTTTTAAAGTTGGTTAATGATAAAAGCACTTTTGTGATAGACAAATTCTAGATAGTATTGAGAAAGGAAAATAAACCAGTGGTATAGACAACACATGTGGTAATAACACTGTGCATCAGTTACAATTACGAATTTTTAGACCAAATCAAAATTACATCAGCAAGTCAGTAGTTTTGCTTTTGGTGCAGTATAGGGAACTGAACTCATTTCCCCAAACACTGTGTTCAAGTACTTGACCACGAGCCACACCACCACTGAGTTTTCCTCCCAAGCACAACAGTGAGTCCAACTTGAATGCATAATGTGGCTGGGAACAGTAGTGCCTGCCTTTGGTACCCAACACTAGGGACACTCAAGTGGGGGTTGTCAATTTGCGTCTAGTGTGGGCAAATTAGTGAGACTCTGCCTCCAAAAATGAAAGAAAAAAAGAGCGTTAGGGAAGTAGCTCAGCGGTCGGTTGTAGAGTAGCCCGGCTTTCACCCGCAGCTCCACACACACAAAAGCAGAGTGTTGCACAAAACGTGCCAAATGTGGAAATTCAAATCTGTATGATTGAGTTACGTGCAGTTCTCAAGTGGGCATGACTTTGCTAAGCTGCAAGAACTGAAGATCATGGTCCCCGGTGAAGAAGGGGAGGGCTACATGGGCTTCTGGGGTTCCAGGGTGTTGCTTTCTGATTCGGACGTCAGTACGTTTGTGGCTACTCAGAGTATATACGCTTTTTCCATGTATGTTTTACTTTAATACAAATTGCCTAATACAAAGTGAAGAACTTTGCCTACACAGGAAAAACCCCAAATTCTGTTTGTGCTTATTTAGTTGGGGATGAAGGGTCAAAGGCCAAGAAGAACAAACAGGAGTCATTTCCCACCCTGGAGACCGTCTGCACAAAACTCCAGCTCCTCTCCTACTTTGACCAGCACCAGGTGACGTCGCAGGTAGCCGCTTTGACTTGTCTGTTGTGTATCTGGAATGTTCTGATTTCCTCTCAGATCTTTCATACCGTGCATTTTAGCCTTAGTTAATTTTATAAATACATTTTTTAAGTATTTGAAACAATGTTCGGGGCTGGGGATTTAGCTCAGCGGCAAAAGCGCCTGCCTGGCAAGCGCAAGGTCGTGAGTTCGGTTCCTGGTACCGGAGAAAAACCA